GCTGTAAATCTTTACGGGAGCAGAACGCCTCATCTTTCTCCCGTAACCATTAACTATAAGTCATCAGAAAGATGCTCTAACCTTGAAAATAAGATAGCAGAAGTATGTGAAGTAGGGCATCAATAACTTTCTGAAAATTGGTCTGTGCACCTTCACTCTGTGACAATAGAATGCAAAATTAATCAAATTGCTATAAATTAATATGTCACTAAACAAGTCACATAATTTTTAAATGCACTAACTTGGCCTTGAAACATGTAGTGAAGAAGAATATAAATATGTCATACAATAATTCCCTAATGGTTGGGAAAAAATATAATATAAATTGACAAACATAAATATGTCACACAAGAATTCATTAACTGGCAATAAAACGAATGAATTATAGTTGAACATGACAGTATACAGGGTATGTGAACTCATGAATTTCTGCATATTTTCATAGAAGACGGCAGAAACAAAAGATCTCTCTGGCTCTCTGAAGATTTGGAATCCTGCTGAGACACTGATAACCCCAACAAACCTTGGGCCTTAGCTATGGGGAAACCTTCTGTGAGTTTGAGGTGTTAAGTCTCCTTCCCGATACCACTTGTTAAAGGTAAAAACCTCAAGTCTAAAGATTTGGCTTCAACACTGAAACTAACATTGTAATGGCTAATTCTGATTCTTCAGTGCTAAATGGAAGTCTCCAAGTCTGATCTGTGCTCCATGCCATGGCATGACTACAGTGATAAACTGAGTGCACATGTTAACATTTATTTAATACTAAGATAAAATTCTCCAGGACAATAACATTTTCAATGACTAATTTTTCAGAGTAGATTATTAGGACTTTCTTCCAAAGCACCTTTGTGGACTCAAAATTCACATCTTTTTCTTAGAAACCAAGTACAGCAATTCTTCACACCACCTAGGGTTTATATTTTCAGATAATGGATGAAAATACTGAAGTGTTGCCTGAGAGTAATCATCAAAGTCCATACTGAAAATGCTCTTTTCAATGAAATAGACATTGCAGATTACTCCAGATTTGGTAAATAAAAATACAGGTTGATCAGTTCAATTTAATTTTCTATAAATAACAAAAACAAATTTTGTAGTATGAGTATATTTCAAAGATTACATGGGCATACTTATCTGACAACATATTCCATATCTTCCTGGAGAAAGAAGTCTGTCTTTAGGGGTATTAACATAAATAAAAATTAATCTTCTAGAAATTCTTGTAAACTCTTAAATGCTTTACATATATTAATAAAAAGGTATCCATCACTTTTGGTTCAGAAAGATGAAAATGTTCAGAGAAGTGTAGAAAGTTTACAAAAGAATGCTCACAGAAAATGGATGCTTAGAAAAATAAATCTTTTCACGGGGAACAGGAAAGGAAAAAAGTTCTTTAAAGAATGTCTCTTTAAAGAATCTTCAGGTTGTTCCAGTTGTAAAATGTGTAAAGGAGAATGAAATCACAGACTTGTTAACTCATTTGAACAGATATTCATTTCCTTTGAGGTTGTTCATTTTAAGGTCTTCATTACAAGAAACACGTTACAATTAGCTACAGGCAAGTGCTACTCATTTTTTCAGATCTAATTCTGTATGATAATATTTTATCACTAGTATCTCATGTAAAAGAAAATTATGAGCAGGCATAGCTATTTATCAGAAAAAAAATTGCATTTAGTGTACTAGGGGGAAAACAACAAAAATAGATATCAAAATTTCAAGTTATGAATATTGGCATTCTAAGTGAAATCTTACTTTTTAAAAAAGTATCAATGCAAAGGCTTTTAGCTAATCACACAGTTTTACCACTGCAAGGGAATATTTAAAATATTTATCTCTTTTTGAAAATATTTACTTTTTGACTACATACAAAATTAATGACCTGAGAGCTGAATTTTTAGAAAATTGAATGTATCTTTTATCCCCCATGAATTCTGGTACCAGAAATAAACCAAACTTTCAAAGAAACATACTGCAATCTCTTTCTTCCCAGCAAAACATACAATGAGATACAGGGCCCTATTCCTAAAAATGAATGGGAGTTTATTAAGTTGGAGGGTTCTGCTTAATTTTTCTGACTAGGTCTTGGGATTACTAATGGCAGTACTTAGTACTAGACAATGAAAGTTTTCTTTCTCGTAACAGATGCCCTTGGAATTCAACCCAAAGTCTTAGGTGTATCTACTTCACTTAATAAGATGAAAATGATAGATGTATAATGTAATTCCATGCTCTAATGCAGTGGACCTCACTTTCTAGTTGATATATAGTCTCACAGTGTAATAGACCTCCTGAGTCACTCTTTTATTTCTCCTTTTTTGACAACTGCACATTTGCAGGGAAATAAAGTAAAATAAAACAATCAGTTTTCTTAAACTAATAGGAAGTTTTTGTTTTGTTTTTTTGTAACATTGAAATGATAGGTTCAAGTGAAAAATTCACATCTAAAATACAAAACATTCACATTTAAAAGATGTCACTTGTAGCTGAAATCTCTGAAGAATACTTGTGAATACTTAAAATTGAGAAACTTTTCTGATGGTGTTTTAAAGAGTTTATACATAAAATAGACACACCCTGTTGGTCAAATGAATGTGAGAATGGCAAATTTTCAGTGTGTTACCAAGTAAATGTGATCCGACCAAGTTTCATTAGGAGAAACTGAGGTACAAGAGTCTGAGTTACTAATGAGAGATGTGGCAGCAAGTTTTATTTCATTCTGGTACCCAGAGTTGGTAGCGCCCCATCCCCTTTTCTTATTAATAAATAGCCTTAATTTAAGTTAGAAACTGTTGATTCACTGCAATAGTCACTTATTTTCTTGGTTAAATAAGGATAAGAACCCATGTGATATAAGAAATTAATTGCTAATTGTGTGAATATGGAAATAAAAGAATAGGGTATAAGCACAAAATAAATGGGTTGAATGAAAAGAATCGATGATGTGAAAACTCGTATAGCTCAAAACACTAAAAATCAGTCAAGACAGTGAAGATACAGAAAATAAAACCAACCTAACAGTAGTGTGTAGCCAATTTAAAAGCAGATGCAGAATCCATTAAAAAGAAGATGCTTTTATTATTTCTTTGGAAAATATTATTATTTTTGAGGTTTCTTGTAGTTCCTAAACAATTATGAAGACAATCATTTAAAACAATTGGCACCTGTAAAAGAACTCTACAAATGTTTTAAATTGAATGAAAACTATATTTTAATATGTGTTTCCATATTATGTATAAAAACTTACAACACATTTAATATCTTATATACAGTAACAGACAATTGAATTATATTGTGATATATTAATATCAATTCACTGTAAAAAATCAGTCTAAGCATTTTTGATATTCAAAGTAAATGCACTTCAGTGAAAATCTAGTACACACTTTAACATGGAAAACACACATGTAATACTACATGTCTCACAATAATGTTGAATTTTGAAAAAAAAAGCTATATTATGTTTCATATGCAAATATTTAGCACAAATTTACATGTTTTATATTAATCCTTGAATTTTAACGTATATTGTATTTGTTTGTTTTCAAAGATATTTAAGTTTATTCATTTTGACAAAAATATAATCTTTTTTGGCCCAAATCATCAAGGAATTAATTTCACATATTTTACAGATAGTAATCTATGTTGCAAATTTGTAAATACAGTGTGAAGATAATAAGAAATGTTCACTTGAAAAGTTAAATTAGATTAAATAAGTATGAGGAGCTATTGTACTAAATGCCTACACATGAGTATAAGGTTTCCTACAGTTAATTTAGTTAACTTGTAGTTAACTATGCAAACAAACACCACTTTTATATGCTATATCTGGAAGTAAAACAGTCAACTACAAGATACATATAAGTAGAGCAAGGAGGACATCTTGAGGTCATTCCAGATATATACATGTTGGTCTTACCCAGAGACCACATACAATTTATGGTTCAGGGTCACTATGAGTTGGAACCCACTCCACAGTACTTAACAACAACAAGTAAATCTCTTAACTAAAGCTGGCACTTTCATTAAAAATTCTGTATTTTCATTAGGAAGTCCTGGATAGAGATAACGTGTGGAATAAAACTCAACAGTATTTTAAAAAACAAAACACTACGTTTACTGGTCAGAAAATGGACTGGAGGCACATGAGACTGTGGTCCTCGACCACCCTTCAGGTCTGGAAAGGAACATAACCTCTTTCAGCCAAGCAATAGACAGGAATATAGCGGAAACAATTTTCAGCCAAGCAGTAGATGGGTATATGGGGTGAACAGAGACACTAGTAAGATATACTTACTATGAATGCTGGAAGAGTCAATTGTTTGGAATCAAGGAGGCAACAGGTACCTGGGGACAATGGCGAGAAGCGACCGGAAGGTGGGTGGAACGGAAGTGGGAAGCACGGGCAGGAAGTGGATGACTATTGGTCCATGGAGGGGATTGTAATCATTGAGATGAAACAAAGCGTATTGTTTGTTGAATGTGAGGCTGATGATATTGTTTGTAAACCTTCACTCAATCCACAATAAAAGTAAAAAACAACAACAAAAAAAGTTAGCTCCTAGAAAGGATTAATAAAATTGACAAATCACTGGCAAAAAAAAAAACAAAACCAATAACTTTACATTTTGATATTTTTGTTTAATACAGGTTTCCATGATTTTTTTTAAAAAAATTGTGTGTATTTGTCCTTAGGAAAATAAAAAAGAGGAAAACTTTCTCAAGAGCATTTAGAGAACATGAAAATGTACTTTCGCTCTCTCACACAGACACATATACATGCAAAGATTATAAAGAAGCTGTTTTTGCTGAATGATAGATAACATTTTAAAATAAGCAAAAGACTGTACAAAAAATTCAGTAAAACTATCTTAAATAAACACACCAGCTAATAAAAGGCTTTCAGTGGCCTCGTTTGAATCTTTTCCTATGCACTTTGGGTTAAAGCTGGACTTGCAGGACCGTTGGCAGAACATTCTGGTTCCTCAGCGCCCGTTCCACTTGTGGATTCGGAACCTTCAGCCTTTTTGTTGTCTTCCTGGGTCTGATCTTGGGCACCAAGTGGACTAACAGAATTCACATCCTGATTTGGTTTGTCCACTTCATTATCAAATTCAATTTGATCTTTTTGGTCGCTTTTCTTTACTTGTCCATTCTGGGCAGGGTAGGTGCTGGCTATGATGTCATATAGGAACTGGTATTGCTCCTTGTTAAAAAAAATCACATGAAGAAAGTTTATGTAATTATTTTTATGTAAGATAAAATTTGCAAGAATTAATTATTGACTTGTGAAAGTACTGAATGACTTAAAACTACTTTGATATATTCTGACACAATGAATATTCTGAATGGCTTAGTCTCCTCTAACAGTTCTAAAGGACTGGCCATCAGGTACTATTATAAATTTACCTTCTAACACCACCAAACTAGTGCCCATTGTCCTCATCTACCCTGTGGTTTCTCATTTCCATACTTCTACCTAAGATGCCACTTTTGCTATAATGCATATCTCTTGGCTAATTCCCACACATATTTTTTTCAAGAATTTGAACAGTAATCATCTGCTTCAGGAAGCCTGTCCTGATCCCCATAGTTGATTTAAGTACCCATAGGAGTCCTGGTATGGTGCTGTGGGTTAATGTGCTGGACTGCAAAGTTGATTTGAACTGCAAGGTTGGCAGTTCAAGCTCACCAGCTGCTTCTTGGAAACCTTATACAGGGTTGTTATAGGTTGGAACCAACTCAGTGGCATTTCATAATAACAAGAAGGTTGATTTAAACTTTTCTGTCATTTCACTTTCTATATTGTTTAGTAAATACTGGCTTTCCCCCACACTAAACAGTGAACTACTTAATGACAAGAGTTCACAGTAAATACTCAATACATATTTATAAATCAACATATACAAGCTCAATATGATACATTAATTGACAATTGTATACATTTTAGGAGTAATTACATTTATATTGTGAATTATTACTAACTCCCAAACTATCATCTTTGGTTACTACCACTTGGTAGAATGATTACAAAACTGTCATGCTTTCTTATTATCTACACTGCATCAACATTCTTTACAATATGAACTTAAAGCCCCTTTAACAAGAAATGGGGTCAAATTTGGGCTGGCCTTGTGAGTTGCTTAGCTACTAGAATGCAGAGGAAATCCTGTGCTAGCCTCAATCCTGGAACTCAAGAGGTAGGTCTTAGAGACTTCTGTTTTCCTTCTCTAATGTTGACCAAATTTTTAGAGTAAGCCTAGTCTCCTAGGTGGAGTACGGGCTTATGGCCCACAAATCGCTGTTTTTAGAGTTAAATGCAAGTCAACTGTCAGCCAACAGGCAACTGAAGTCAATTTAGATCAGCCAGAACTCAAGGGAATCATCACCTGATGGTATGCATATGACAGTTCCCTGCAAATTGTCTGAGCCTGAAGAGACCAGCAGAGCCGTCCCACTGACCAATATTGAACTACAATAGACGTTCATCTTTTTAGCCATGGATTATTTGAAGTGAGAGCATCAAAAAACCCAGCAGCATTATTTAATGTGAGATTACCCAAAACAAACTAGAACTACTGCCACTGTGATGATTCCTGACTCATAACACATGACCCTTTATGACATGGGTTAAAATAATGAAATTAGGAAATTCATGTGCATTTTAGAGAAATAAGAAAATACTTTTCATGAACTGCAACAACAATAAATTTCAGGCAAACTCTTGTTAGTTGGACTTCTTATTGCTATTGACAATAAATTAATGTGAATTATCATAAAAAAATGAAGCAAAAAAGAATAATAGAAAAGCAAAAGGAAAGAAAACTATCAAAATGAAAATGCAAACATGTTAGAAGCAACGGTGTACTTACAAAGGAGGAAACCATTCCTGGCCTAGATTTACGTAGAGATTTTACCACCTGAAAAACATCTACCACCTCTTCTGTTTCTGCACTTTCCAAGAGATTTAGTAAGGCACAAAATATCCCTGTTTGCTGAGCTCCATCTCTACAAAAAGATGAAAAGGGAAAAATATAACATAATCCGACATTTGTAGAGGAAGTAGTATTTTATTAAAAATTGAAATAAAGAATATTTTCACTTCATATTTACAAAAATTATTTTCTTCTTAAAATTCAAATTACTTATGCTAAATCAATTTTAAACAAACTCAATTTGAAACTGTAATAATCTTATACTTTAAAGACTGTTTGTGTTAGACTTTAAAAATATACTTGCTTTTCTTTAGTACTTTCCAGATTTTAATGCATTTTTATTTACATCTGAAATTGTGAGGTCAAATATCTTAATTCCAAGTTAATACATTAAGAAACCAAGACTTTGAAAACTCAACAAATGCTAAAAATGTATATTTCTCTAAGAACTTGATTCTAGTGCAAGGGAACTTCAAAAAGTTCATGGAAAAATTCCATTATCTTTTAATTCCATTTCTCCACAACTTTTCTGAAGCATTCTCATATATGTAATTTCAAAAATAATAATAATGAGACTTTCTCACAAATTCTAAGAACATTTCACTAGATTCACATTTCTCATTTTAATATTTTTCATTTACTTTAATTTTTCATAAAAATGTTTTATTTCATGCATGCTTCTTTTAATCTCTTACTAAAGGTGGATATGTATGCATATTACAAATGAAGTTTAAGAATCTGAATAATGATTATTATTTCTACTACTCAAATCTTTGCCTTTTGGGTCAGTTTAGAAAACTGAAGGATAGGCTGAAAGTCAAAGTTGCTAACCATTGAGATTTCATGTAATATATAATTTATGATTATTGAATGAAAAATATTCAGCTGCACCTCTGGACTCTGTACATCTAATAGAGTAAATCAATGCATGTAAGCATATAGTCAGTATAATATTCATTTACCAATTTGTCTATATATCCTTCCATTCATTCATTAATTCATTCAGGACATATTATATTCCAGGATTGACCTCAGGCACTGCAGAATCAACGATGCTATGATGCTGTTGTTGTTGTTGTTGTTAAGTGCCGTCGAGTCGGTTCCGACCCATAGCGACCCTGTACAGGGTTTCCGAGGCATTGTTATATTACTCGTTGATCTATACTTAATATACTAATGTATGTGCTTTCAATGAAGTCCTAGTGTGGTGCTGTGGGTTAGTGCCCCAGATTGCAAAGCCATTTAAACTGCAAAGTCGGCAGTTCAAGCTCACCAGCTGCTCCTCAGGAAACCTATACAGGGTCTCTATAGGTCAGAACCGACTCCATGACACTTAACAACAATTCTTTCAATTACTGTTATGCTATGATGGTAGTGGTGTGCTGTGTAGTCGGTTCCCACTCATAGCGACCCTGCATAGGGTTTCTGAGGCTGTAAATCTTTATGGAAGCACAAGCCTCATCTTTCTCCCACAGTTCAAACTGCTGACCTTGAGGTTAGCAGCCCGGTTTGAAACCAGTACACTACCAGAGCTCCTTACTGTTACGCTATTTATTCTGATATGTAAAACACAGGGCCACAGTGAAAAATCTCTTATGGCATAATCACTATAATTTTTGCTCTCATAGCATAAGAGATTATGCCATAAGAGATTTTTCATTGTGGTCCTGTGTTTTACATATCAGAAAAAATATTATTCAAGAGAAAGCATTAACCAGGGTAGCAAATTTACCAAGACTTTTAGAGCATTTCCTAGCAAACCCCACCCACCTGCAATGAATGAGGAGAGGCACATTCTTGTAACACTTGTTCGCTTTGGTGAAATTCTTCGGAAGTTTTTGTTTGAGACTCTGAATCAAAGAGATTAATTCTTTGGGTTCTTCAGGAAGTTCTTCCACTTTCCAGTTACTGTATTGGTACTGATACACAATTCTGGTGTCCTTCCTCTAAAAACAGAAGTGAAATTAGCATTAACTTGAGTGAAATAGAGTCCATTATATAATCAAAAAGTCACATTTCCTTCACAACTACTTTCATTTATATCAGTTAAGAACCTTATTCTGAAATACAGTTTAGGTAGTTGTTTGCTCTCACAGAGTAGTTTATATTAGTTTTGCTACCAGTTCAAATCCATCAAATTTATTTACTCCTGAAAGTATTTATATACCTTAGCATGTCTCAGTTCAAATTCACGGAGGGTATAAATTGAAGAAGTGTTTGTGCCTTTCAAAGCAACTTCTATATCGCCGTATGTTTGTTGTCCTTCTCCCCAGTACTGAGCACAGGTTTCCTAGATAAGAAAGAACACATTTCAACAACTGCAGGAGAGTTTTGCTTGGTATTTAAATTACTCAATGAACTTCTCTCTTCTTTCTTCCTCTATCTCGGTAACTATTTATCTTCTCCTACTTTCTACTTTCTCTCCTCTTACTCATCTCATGTGCGAGATGACTACCGAAGCAACTCACAGAAAACAGTGGTGTATTCGTGGCTCGTAACTCAGCCTA